GCAACCTCTGTCTCCTGAATTCAAGAAATTCTCTTGCCTCAGACACTCGAGTAGTGGTATTACAGGCGCTGACCACCATGCTCAGCTAAGTTTTGTACTTTTAGTGGAGACAGGGTTTTACTATGTTGGCCAGGTGGGCCTCGAACTCCTGGTCTCAGGTGATCCACCCACCTTGGCCTCTGAAAGTGCTGGGACTGCAGGTGTGAGCCACCATGCCCAGCCAATCCAATGCATTTTGACAAAGGTGTCAAGAACCTACAATCAGGAAAGGACAGTCTTTTCAATAAACGATGCGGGGAAAATGGGTTATCTATATGCAGGGAATGAAATTGCACCTGTACCTCTCACCATTCACAAAAGTCAAATCCAAATGGATTAAATACATGAGTCTAAGTCCTGAACCTATGAAGCATGTAGAAGAAAATACTGGGGAAATGCTTCAGGACATTTGTCTGAGAAAAGACATTGTGTTTAAAACCTCAAAAACACAAGTAATCAAAGCAAAAAACAGACCACAGGGATTACATCAAACTAAGCAGCTTCTGCACTGCCAGGCAAGCGACCAACAAAGTGAAGAGACAACCCACAGAATGGGAGCAAAGATTTGCAAACTATGCATCTAAATCGGCATTTATAACTAGAAATATAAGAAGCTCACGTAACGCAATAAAGCAAATAATTTAACTAGAAAATGGGTGAAAGACATGAACAGACATTTCGCCACAAACAAAGCATATAAATGGCCATCATGTATATGAAACACTGTTTAGTATCACTCATTATCAGAGAAATACAAATTAAAATCACAATGAATTTTCATCTCACCCCACTAAAATGGCTTTTATCTGCAATACAGGGAAAAAAATGCTGGCAAGATGGTAGAGAAAGGAGAATCCTTGTACCCTGTTTGTAGGAAGGTAAATTAGTACAGCCATTATGCAGAAAAGTATGGAAATTCATAAAGAAACTAAAAAGAAACTGGGCATGGTGGCTCACACCTGTAATCGCAGCACTTTGGGAGAGCGAGGCGGGCACCTCACTTGAAGTCAGGAGTTGAGAGCAGCCTGGCCAACATGGGGAAACCCTGTCTGTACTAAAAAATACGAAACATAGCTAGGCGTTGTGGTGTACACCTGTAATCCCAGCTCCCAGGGAATCTGAGGCAGAAGAATCATTTGAATCCAGGAGGCCTCTGCCTCCCAGGAGGTTGCAATGAGCCTAGATTGTGTCACTTGCACGCCAGCCTGGGCTACAGAGGAAGGCTCTGCCTCAAAAACAAAAACCAAACAAAAACCAAACAAAAGACTAAAAAGAGAATTTTCATAGTATTCACAAATTCACTATTGGGTTTACATCCAAAGGAAAGGACTTCAGTGTATGGAAGTTCTATCTGCACTCCCATGACTGTTTCAGCACAGTTCACAGTAGCGAAGATGTGGAGTCCACCAACCTGCCCATCAGTGGGTGAATGGATAGAGAGAATGTGGTACATACACACAGTGGAGACTACTCATCCGTAGAGTCAATAACATCCTGACATTTGCAGCCACATGATGGAACTGGAGCCCATTACAAAGATTCCCAATTCTCACCCTTATGCAAGAGCTCTAAAGTGGATCTCAAGAAGGTAGAGAGTAGAATGGTGGCTACAAGAGGCCAGGAAGGGAACGGTGGAGGGTAAAAACAAAACAAAACAAAAAACAAAACAAAACAGAATATAAATGCATTTATGACCACTAGACTTTACACTTAAAAATGGTAAAGGTGGTCAATTTTCTAGGTATATTTAACCTCAACAATTATTTTTTCAAATGAAAAGAAAAGGGTGTAAGGGTTGCTGGTGATGATATGTCTGTGTGGGTGAGAGGCTGGGATGGGCTTCTGGGAAATGGGTAAGGTTGAGGGGCTGAGGGAACCTCTGATCTCCCGAAACTGAGCCCAGTCTCCCTCCTCTGGGTCTGTCCTGACCAGTTTCTCCATCTGCCTGGGTGCCTGGAGCCCTGACCACGGACCACCACGCAGGCCATGCAGGAGGGTTTGGAGGTGCCCTCTCTGCCATCCTTCATCCTGATCCCGCCCTCACACCGAGGCTTGCTCTTCTCTCTGAACCTGTGCATGCTTCTCTCCATCATCAGCAGCAAGTTCCTCAGCTATGGCTCTGGGATCGTAAGACATGGGACAGGCATGGGGTTTCCTCACCTGTGACAGAAATGGGCAGTGGGTCACTCGAGTTTGACCACTTGTAGGGTGTGATACGGAAAGAACCGAAGCATCTGTAGGTTCCTCCGTGGGTTGCAGGGCCCAGAGGGAAGTTGGCCTGGAATATTCCATTGACGCTTCGTACTGCAGAGAGACTAAGTTCACGGGCCTCCCCCTCCCTGGATAGATGATACATGTCAAACGAGTTCTGGGAGCTGCAGGACAAGGTCATGTTCTCTCCTGCCTGAACCGTTGGGCCCGGCTGGGCTGAGAGAGAAGGTTTCTCATATAGACCTGGAAGGAGAAGAGGCAGTTTCTTCAGGGAGGTTGTTCCTTGTCACAGCTCCCCTCACATCTGAACTGTAAACTCGCTCCCCTGTTCTATGACCTAATGCCCTCTCTGTCTCTCACCCTTCACCTTGTGTCTCTTCATGTCTGTTTCCTCCTTCCACTTTCTCTGTCTCTCTAGGTCTCTGACCTCACTTCCCCAGCCCGTGATCTGTTTCCCCTTTTTGTATTGTTTTCTTCTCTCTGACTCTCCTTGGATTGTTGAAGTGATCCTCCTTTTTCTTTAATTCTGAGTTTCTCACTTTCTGTTTTGTTCATAACTTTCTGCACATTTCTATCTATTATCTATTGATTGATCTACCTATCTACTACCTGTCAATCTATGAATTATCTATCTGTAATCTATATCTATGTGTCATTTATCTATCTCTCTATCAATTGTCTGTCTATCCACCATCTATCTATTATCTATATCTATGTATCATCTGTCTGTTCCCTATCTGTCTGCCTCTCTGTCTCTATGTATCATCTACGTATCTATGTATCTATCTATGTGTCTATCTATCTGTCTATCTATCTATCTATCTATCTATCTATCTATCTATCTATCTATCTATCTATCTATCTATCATCATCATCATCTCTATGTATCATCTATCAGTCGTTATCTATGTATCTATAGCCCATCCATTATCTATCATCTACCTATTTATCATCTATCTATATCTATCTATCCATCTACCATCTGTCTCTCTCCATCTCCTTGTCTTTCTCTGCCTCTCAGTCTCTCTAGTTCTATTTGGAATCTCTGCAATCCATCCCCACATCTTTATCTATCTCTGTCTTTGTGCCCCCGCCCTCAGGGTTCTGATTTTGGAGCTTTTCTCTCCTCCCTTCCATCATTCTCTCCACTCCTCTGCCCTGTTTTCTGTCTCTTTATGTGTCTGTGAGTCTCTCAGTCCCCTTCCTCTGGCTCATTGTCTGTGTGTTTATGTCTTTGCTTTCTGATGTTCCTGATTTCTCTTGGTGTCTCTCAGGAATCTTATCATATGTGGGGTTATGTGGAATATGAGCCTCAGAATCCAGTGTGGGGACCCCACGTACACACAGCATACAGGGGTTGGTGTTCTGGGGCCACGATATCCTGGGACGATGACTCTCCACTGCACGGAAGGCAGAGGTGTCAGAACAAACACGGCATCTGTAGGTGCCACAAGGTCTGAGGCCACAGGGGCTGACTCAGGACAGAAATATGGGTGCCCTTGGGTTCTCCTGGTAGAAACACTTTGTGGAGGTAAAACAGAAATGAAGCTTCTAACCTGTTCCAGGTCTCTGAGCAAAGTCAGCTTGGAAGGACGCCTCTCTCTGGGACATGTCTGTCTGTCTGGGTGTCCCCTTTAACTCTTTCTCTATTTTCTACTTCCCTGTATGGCCCCTGTGTCTGTCCTCTGTTATGACACCTGGTCTGTACTTGTGTCTCCTGTTTCTCTGTCTCTGTTGGTACAGACCTCGCCAAGTCAGTCTCTCTCCATAAGAATCCCACGCTCATCTTCCTCATGACAACCCGGGGCTTCCAAGTCCTGGATCATTCACTCTGTGTCCCAGTGACAATGAGAAGAATGTCCGGACACTCTCACCTGTGATCACGATGTCCAGGGGGTCACTGGGAGCTGACAACACATAGGGGGAGTGAGTGACAGAACCGTAGCATCTGAAAGTCCCTGCAAGGTCAGACGTCGTGGAATTGATGGAATAGTTGGCCTGGGAACCCCCACCATGGAGCTCTCCAACAAGGTGCAACGGCTTCTCAAAGTTCACCTCACTGTGCAGAAAGAAGT